CCAAGCAAGGAGCCCGATGTGGGACTTGATCCCAAGACGCTGGGATCATGACCTGAGCCAAAGGCAGCCCCTTAACCAACTGAGCCACCCAGGCGTCCCCAAAATTTTCATTTTTATTAAGATTTTTACCTCTGAAAGTTCTGAATTGAACTGAACTGAAGGCTCAGTTCAAACCAGTTCTGCTTAATGTGTTGTATACATTACCGAGAAGAGCAAACGGCTGCTTTCAGGGCAGAATCATACGCAGCATTTCCAAACTGAGTGAAAGAGTAGTGAAAGCATTTCCTAAATTCCCTTCGTGGACTTTTTTCTGACCTGTCCAACCCGACTGCATTCAGGCTCTGGTGACCTAAGAGGGTCTTCCCTTCCATCTCGGAGAGTCATAGGTACAAGGCAAACACTGTAACAAAAGGGACTGTTCCTTAAGAAGATCTGCTTCAATTTCACATCCAGGAGACCAGGAATGGAAAGTGTCTTAATGAATTTTGGGTGGTGTCTTGGGACTGTTTGTACTGCAAAAGTCAAATATGCCCACCATAAATCTTTTCTATGACATCAACCGAAAGGTTACTTGAAAGCCCTCAGAGCAACTGGAATTTACATCTCTGTGCACAATACAGGGGTCCCCGGATTCCAGAGCATGACCAGGGTCCTGATGGCTATATTCTTAAGCACTGATCTATCATTATCCTTCAAATTCCCCAGTTCCTCCTTATCTAACTTAAATAATGAGATAAGCTCCAACACTCCTGAGCTTTGCTAAATGAGTTTAAATATTTCAAGTTCTGCCAGCTCCCACTTTCCTCTCCATTTTGGGTCTTGACTAAAAAGGTGAAGAAATATTTTGGAGGAAACCTCAGGGCCCAACTTCATAAATCTTCATCTGCTACTTTCCTAAAATGTCTTATAACCCAAAGCCCACAACAGATGGTATTTAGAGAAATAAAGAGGCAAATAAATAGCTTGAGTCCAATACTCCCCTTTTCACCGTTATTTTTGCCTTCTGCTGGGCAAGAGCTGCCCCTGGGTCTCTGCAGCTTTCTACCACCCAAGTATCTTCTCAAATACGACCATCGACTACCACCACACACGCAGGAGCTGGGCAGGCAGCCCCGAGGGTGCCCTGCTTTGGCCTGGCCCATTTGAAGGGCAGCAGGCTTTTCTGTGGCTTCCATGAACCACAAGTGTGGCTGCCAGCTGTGCCATTTTCATGAACTTTACTTGGGAACAGACAAATGTGGCCCCATACACGTAGACTGGAAGATGCGACCTGAGCCAGCACAAAGTTGCCTTGGAAAAGGCTTCTTATTTCTGTTCCAAACCACACATACTTGTCCAGTTAACGAATGCAGCAGGGGATACTAGTCTACAATATTCATGCGGAGGCCAAAGGCTCTGCTGTCCTCCGCCCTCTTCTCCCCCCACCCCCACCTGCCTTCCCAAGAACTGTCAGATGGCATGGCAATTTCAGGGAAAAGTCAGGTGACTGTCTCTTCGGAATGCCTGCACACTCCACCAAGGAGAGGAACTTGGAAGTATTTTAATCTAAAAGTACTCAAGGAGGGGGGCTCCCTATAAATAAAGTCATGTTTAAATAAACACAAAGAGGAGCCAATATTTCCTGTAAGGCCACTTTTCGGAGGGATTACTGGAAGGAATATTCTTTCACAGTTTTATGGCTTACTTTGCTATCATCTGCTTAAGATTTGAGTCATTTAAAACATAGATGCTAAGATCTAAGCCTTCACTTGGACGAAATAGTACAAAGGAAGCAGAAAGTCTCATTCCAAGAGCAGACTCAGAGGCAGAACTCTTGGATTCCTGGGTTCTATTCCTGGCTCGGTCCCTGGGCTCAGGTCAGCCCTCGGTCAGAATCTCACTTCTAATCCCTTCAAATCATTTGTTAGTCCCTGTTGTCTAAACAGTGGGGAAAAACCCTGAGTAACACCCCTGGATCCTGTTCAATCAACTGGGATGGTTGGAGATGGTTCTAACTCACTTCCAAGAAATCAGGGTGATTTATCCCTTGGTAGAACTAGTATGTTCCTAAGAGATCACACTGTCATCAGAACAAACTCTCAAGGCACCGAAACATTTCTCCACCTGCAAGGATCTCCGTGCTCCTTTAATGTGACTTTCAAAATAGGGTCATCCGGCATTTTATAGTGTTCCTTATAGGACCCACAGGAAAATAACCCTGGTTGGGCTTTAGACCTCTGAGAGAGGGAATGACCAGATAAGTGTATCTAGCCCCAATTTATAGATGGAAAAACTGAGGCTTAAAGAGGTGGGGGGACTTAAGGTAAGAGGGGGGTTGGGACCTGCTGTTTTCCAGGCCAAGTGTTCTTTTCTAGCACACGGATACTCGTTAATAGCCTACTTTGGGACCCGGACAAATGGACGGAGGGAAACTGGTCAAAGTGTTTCAGAAGAAGCTGTAATGTCTTTTCAGTGCAATAAAGGGTAAAGAGGCAAATCTCTTTGAGGCTCCCAATTAGATGGCCCAGCACATACCCCACTCACCTCTGGCAACTCTGGCCACGGCTCTCCCACCAAGGACTCCTCTGAGAACAGAGAGGAGATGCAGAAGCTTACTTGCCCCTCCCCGAAGCTCCCAGGTCCCCAGGCCAATGACTACCTGGCTGCTTCTCTCTTTCCACCGTAGCTTTTGTTTTTAGGAGTGAAGGGCTACGGAGAGAGCTATTCCTGCAGATTTGCAGCCGGACTTCAGATGGAATGCCTGATTACTGTTTGTTTTCAGGCATGCTGCCTAGCCTCTCTGGACCCCCTTGACCTGGAATGTGATTCTCTCTTCCCCTCACCTGGCCAACCCCCACCATATACTCAGGCTTCATCCTAACTAGCACTTCCCAGGGCCCTCCGTGGCGCAACGGACAGCACACTGGACTTCGGAACAGAACCGCCCTAGAAAAGCCTTTCTTGACCCCGCTGACCACAGGTTAGCCAACCTCCTTCTCCCCTTTGCCTTCTCCAATTACATGATCTCGCAGCACCTTATAAATCTCCCAGGTCATTTATCACAATTTTAGCAAGAAATTATTACTATGATTATTTGTTTTATGTTTGCTTCCCCGGGAGACCAGGGGAAGAGCAGGGCCAGCTTAGCCTTCTGCTAGATTCCTGACCCTGAGGCCTTAGAAAATTTTCAGTCAATATTTACTGACTAGAAACAACTGCGTGACAGGATCCACCGGGCAACATGGAGCGGAACCGGCTGTGTCAGCACCGGACAGCCCGTGAAACTAAGGATACCTGGCTTTTTGCGGTAACCATTTTGTGCCTTTCTTACGCTCCGAAAAAGAAAGACAAAACTTTATCAAGACTTCCAAACTGATACTGTGTGGAAAATCCGTCATTTCCTTCTGGTCAGCGTTAGTGAAGTTCCTAGCACAAGATGGTATTTTTAAAAAATGAAACACATACCTCAGAACTCCTTTTGAAACAAATCACTCAATCCCTTGGCCACTTTGGGATTTTACGAAAAAGGATGTTTCTTTTGGAACTCTTAGGGGTCTCCTGTTTTACTCACTCATCGGTAGGTCTTACCGTCCTAACAAAATAGCGGAGGTGGACTTTTGGGGCTTCCAGCCGACCCAGAAAAACTAACTGGAAATACTTTCAAAGCTTCCCTACTGCCCCCTCCCCCCCAACTTCATAAATGCTTCAAAATATACTCAAGGATTGTTTTAGCTCTGTATCTGAGAATAGAATGTAACCTAACTAAAGTAAACTCTACAGATCCTTTTTTAAAAAAGCAGCTGCTTCCCGTTGGAAGACAGTCTGGCAGAACACATTACATGGTCCCAGTCTACAATCTTAAGCATTTCCCCTGCAGTAATGTGTCATCAGAAAGGTTTCCTGGTGACAGACACATGGATTCTTTTTAATTGGGGACGATTTCACTTCAAATCCTATTCGAGGGAGCGATAGGGTGTGGACAAGGCCCAGGCCCTAGACATTCTAAAAGGGCACACTAATTCACTCAGGGAATATCTCTTAACCAGGGAGCAGCAAAATCCTTCTGGGCTTAAGTGGCGTCCAGCTTGGCTGGGAACTGTAACATTCATTATCCCCTTTGTTGATAAGATCCCCAATTAGTCACTCAGAAAAAGGAAGGCTCAAATAGGCTACTAACATGAAAAGCTATGTTAAAGTAGTCAGATTCTGTGGGCTGCGGAGCCATGTGGGCTGCCCCTGATTTCCCTTCCCAGCTGGTATCAAGGCAAGATAACATCTCACAGCAGAACCGCCAACCTGCCTGGGGAATTCCTTCATGAGGCTGGGGGACTGGCTGGCATGTCCAAGTGGAAGGAGGACCAAGAAAGGACAGACTCACGTGGTGAATCACAACTGCTGGGATTCCAGAACATGCCATGGAGCCCAGGAGCCAGACACAGCCGGCAGCCAGACAGTTTTCTTAATGGGGATGGGGGGGGGGGGGGGTCCTAGTTAGTTTGGTGAACAGGGGAGATCTGTAAGGGTGTGATCCTATTTCTGACCCCTCTAATGAAGAAAAACATTTTATATATAAATAAATTACAGACATAGGTATAGATAGGCAGATCCAGGAAGAATTCATGCCAGATTTTTGTGCCTTATTTTCAGGTATTTGTACTAGGTAGGCCAGAAATTTCAGACACACGTATTCAAGGTTTAAAAAACTGCATCAGTGGGGCGCCTGGGTCGCTCAGTGGGTTAAGCCGCTGCCTTCAGCTCAGGTTGTGATCCTGGGGTCCTGGGATCGAGCCCCGCATCGGGCTCTCTGCTTTGGCGGGGAGCCTGCTTCCCCCCCCCCCGCCTCTGCCTCTCTGCCTACTAGTGCTGTCTCTCAAATAAATTAAAAAAAAAAACAAAAACACTGCAACATTAAGGCAGAAAGTATACGACTAAACGTATCAGCATGGATCAGGAGAGGCAGTAGACCTGGGCTGGTGCAAAAGTGATTCCCACTCCCCCACGCCCCACCAATGACCACTGACCTGGGGCCACTAAGCGTGGCTGTGTCTCTCACCGCCTGGGCTGTTTCTGATGCAAAATCCAGGGCACCTGCCACTGGTTTGGTTACAGTGCCAACAAGCCCTTTCCCAAGGCCAGATATGAAACCGCTGACACCCCCTTCCGTTTTCACTCCTTCCACTGTCGAGGTTATCACACTGGTCAGTCCACCAATGATACCTAGTGGAAGAGACAAGGGCTGTTGTAATCTGGCCGAGGACAAAAGCAAAAGCATTTGAAGTCAAACGCCATCAATTCCGTGCCCCTGGCAAGGTAACTTAGGGGCATTCTGTTAGCCTCTCGAGAGGCTACAGGTGGACCAGCTCCAGTTGGGAACTGGCAGACTCAGACTTGCCTGCTAAGTTTAGAGTCTGAGAATATAGACTACATGTTAGTCTGAAGTGAAGTGTGTCCCGGTTAACAACAACAAAAAAAATCAAATCAAAAAAAAAAAAATCAAAGAACACCTAAGAAGTTAACAGTGGCTCCTTTCCAGTTCCCGAGTGTGGGAAGCACATGGGCGATCAGGAGACTAAGCAGACAGTAGGACTAAATCAACAGACTAGCATATAGTGGCCCTTGGGGAAAGTTGGGGTCCCATAAAATATAAGGCAGAGGGAAATAAATACAGATCCTCAGTTTTCCAAGAACGCTATATGACTGGCCAACACCAGACATTTGAAATGGGGTAAAAGCTACTGCACACTTTGCTGAAATCAGGTTTAGGCAATCAGAGTAAGTCATGAGGCCTTGATGAATGGTCCCCCTCCCCCGCCCCCCCCGCCCCCCCCCCAAAAAAAGTTGCTAAAACCAGCCGGGACTCTCCATGGAGTCTCTTCAAAAGACCAACCTAGGCCACAAAGACATTCCAGACGTTTTGAAAGTTGACAGCAATGATCTTATAGAGCATGAGAAGTGGCCAGAAGTTGGCAGAGGCTGGAGAGGACACAGACATCACAGGCAAGAAGAGGGGCCCTGTCCGGGGAGCGTTTCCAGGATGTGTGCCAGGGACACTCACAGGATGTTTACCCTTGGACGGCGGGGGCACGAGGAAGTGCTCTAGACTCTTCATCTCTAGTGAGACAAATCGGTAAAGGAAATTCCTTGGGTGAGAACGCACTAACAATCCACGTTTCTTTTGGATTCTGGGTCCATTTGCTCCAGCGAGGCCACAGCCCTCGCCCAAACTTTTGAACCAAGGTCATGGAGAGATAGGCATTACCCAGCCTGGTGCAAGTGGGGCCTGCAGAGAAAACTGAGTGGGACTCCCCATTTTGAAACCAAGGAGACTGAATGGATTCTGGTTCTTGTTATCCCTGAAGAATTTTTTCACGCCAGGCTCCTGCTCTCATGCCATCCAGGGCCTCATGTATCCTCCTCGGACGAGGCTGCCTGTTCTCGGAGATGCTGCGTGTATTGTATGAATGAATGGTCCTTGGTTGGAAGGGATTTTGCAACCAACCTTGAACCATCATCCATTTTCTCAGCATACTCCTGTGTCCAACCAAAAAGTGAGGACAGCTAGGCTTTCTCTCCACATTCCAAGGATGCGAGACAGACAAAGGCAATTATACACAGCAAAGCATTTTGTATTCACTAAAAACAGACAAACAAAACCAGTCCCTCCGACTCCCATGCACTATCATTACAGTTACTAGAAAGAATAATTAAATCTTTAACCCCAAGTGGCTGCCCAACAATCAACTTTTTGAGTCCCTAGACAGATTAATTTCAGCCACGTTTTAGCTTGATGTCTCCTTTGGGGCTGCTCCCTTTCCAGTTGGGCAGGCTTAGGAGAAGTAAAGGCATCTTGATCCAAACCCCGTGGTTAGGAAAACTGATAAACAAAAACTCTGCCCTAAACACTGTGTCCTCAGCATGAAGAGACTTAAGATTTTCTATTATTTATATTCCTCCTTCTTCCAAATGTGGATAATCTAAGCCTGATCAGTCTTGATATGACTTCTGTTAGCTTCAGACTATTTCTGAGAATCTGGTACAAATGATGCAACTCACTAAGCATTACGAAGCAGGAGCTACAGGCCAGGTATCCCATGGGGTTCTGCACTCATAAAGGTGGATACAAATGCTCTTTCCGCTCTCCTGACCTGCAGAGTCTATCAGGAAAGCAAGGTACACACAGCTGCTTAGATACACAACCCAGACTGCGACACGTGATCTGATGCTCATTAATTCTAACTGGGGATCATGGAGCTGGGCAAGCATCATTTGAGCTAAGACCTCTAGGTTGAACAGGACTTTGACAGGCAGGGATGGGAGGCAGAGGAGGGGAGGGCAGAGGACCATGAGTGAGCAAGCCCTTGGGGGTATGTATGGGGAACAGCCCAACCTTAACCCTAACCCTAACCCTAACCCTAAGGCAGCTCTACAGTGTGGCTGGGTGACAATGGATGGAGAAGTTGGCTGAGCTTACATTTCCAAGGGCCCCGAATGCCACACTAAGAAGTTGTTGAGAAAAACGCAACAAAAGGCGAATGAGTAGGAGTTAAGGCATTAAAGGTCAGAATTCAAACAAAGTCAGAGACTTAATACATTCATGCGATCACCTATATCTCTTGGGCACATGGATTTACATTCCTTTTGAATGTGCATGTATACAAGACTCAAAAACATCTGGGCCACAAACCCAGCAGCCGGTTTCACATTCCAGTTGCCATGGAAGGAATGCTCAGTAAGCAGAAGGCAAGTCTTGAAGCAGCAGTTCCATATTCTAAAAAGGGGCCCAACTGATTACACCTTACGACACTTTGGGAACTGGAGGCAGAGAACAGGAAGGGACTGCAGTGCACGCACCATTCCGAGAGGTGAAAGAGAATGAAGAACATCTCGGGCTGTAACACTTCCAACGGTGAGGAGGATAAAATAAGAGAGCCTGGAAGGGCGCCTGGGTGGCCCAGTGGGTTAAGCCCCTGCCTTCAGCTCAGGTCATGATCTCAGGGTCCTGGGATCGAGTCCCCCATCAGGCTCTCTGCTTGGCAGGAAGCCTGCTTCCCCCTCTCTCTCTGCCTGCCTCTCTGCCTACTTGTGATCTCTGTCTGTCAAATAAATAAATAAAATCTTAAAAAAAAAAAGAGAGAGAGAGAGCACGCCTGAAAGGCTATCAAGTACACCAAGCTCCCCGGCCAGGATTTCCACTTGCAGTCAGATGGCTGAGAGGGGACTTGGAGGAACTGTGGCGGAAGAGCCAGTCTTCCGGGATCACGTGACTTACCATGAGCCAGGCCATGGATGCCGGCGACAAGGTGCTCCCCACTTGTGGCTGCGTGGTATCTGATGTACTCCCGCTCCGACTGATGCCGATTGTCCATCGTTTTCCCTAAGCCGTCCGATAATGTCCCTGCGAACTGGAATGAATTAAAAACAGAAGGAGAGAGTTTTAAAGCCTCAGCACTATTTCTGCTATTTTAATTATTTTAAATAAATGCCTTGCCTTGCTCCTAACTGGGATTCGGTAAATCCCAACCGAGAGAAGAGAGATATTAATTGCTGAATTACATGTATGATGTGTCCCAGGAGACTGGTTCTTGAGCACCAGACACATTCAGATTGTAGGATGCTCTACACTGGGGGACACGAGGCTTGCAAAACAACTACTAAATGTCCACAGTGGCATCCGCCTTCCCCAGTTGTCTTGCAATTTACTGAAAAATGTATCACAAAATGACGTGGGGGAGGAGAGGTAAGCGTTGGGATTCTAGAATGTTAAGGACAGAGGCTCTTTGCTGGAGAAACCAGGGTGATTCAAAACAGGAAATGCAGCAAATTGTTGCTTTGGGGTTTGGGATCAAAACTTTTAGAGACATCCACTGCCCTCAAGTAATGTCTTTTCTTTCACTTATTCAACAATTACTGGTTGGGTAGGTGCCCAGTCCCATCGGTCAGAAGGAAAAATGAAGTATATGGAAAGGTTAACAGGTTAGGTCACCTTTCATATGAAATGGCAGACTTGAACTCACGACTTCCAATGCAAAATCCTCCCCCACAAATCAGAGAAAGATCTTATTTACCCTGGCATTCTTTTACCAGAGAAGCTGTCTCATCCATCAAAGCTGGATAAAAAGGACATAAAACTCTGTTTTGTCACAAGACAACCTGAAAAGGTTTAAAGTGACAGTTAATAAACCACAGGGTACTTATCCTCATCATTCAGGCAGAAAGAGGAAAGGATATCAAATATATAATTAACCTTCTCGGGAAAGATCTACCAAAACAAGTGGTTTAAGTGCCAATGACCCAAGACTAACCTTTCGGAGAACTCACAGGAATGTTATTTAGATACAGAGCTCGGTGCAAAGATTCAAGGCGAATTGCCTGCCTTGAAGACCCAATATACTGGGTAGCCTGGACATTGGGGGCCCGTTTCATACTGGTTTGGCAAGGAATTTTTTTTTCTTAAGGTTTTATTTATTTGAGAGAGAGAAAGAGAGAGAGAGAGAGAGAGCACGCACATGAGCGGGGAGGAAGGGCAGAGGGAGAGGGAGAAGTAGACTTCCCGCAGAGCAGGGAGCCCGATGCAGGACCCGATCCCAGGACCCCGGGATCATAACCTGAGCCGAAGGCAGACGCTTAACCGACTGTGCCACCTACGCACCCAAGGACATTTTTAGAGCACCAGGCCTGAGGCTTCATGACACAAGTGACAGGCGAAGGTGAGTTCTTGGCACAGAAGAGGGACTCGAGGAAGAACCAGCAATTCCAGGTGAAGCAATGGTTTCTGGAGCAAGAGATGGGAACACTCATTGCTTTTACTCAGTCCAAATGCTTTTATGATTTAGGGCAGTGATCACTGACCTTTCTAGAGATGCAGTCCCTATCATTATTTGCTTTTGGCCTTGCTGTCCCTGTCACTCCGTGTCTAATAGGAGAACTAAAGTTAATGAAAAGTAATCTCACAATTGCCTTTAGGTTGGAGACACCCCGGCATGTTGCAAGGCTAGCTCTGTGAATCACCAGAGAAGGCTGTAGTCAGGGATCCTGTTGGAGAGCCACTGCAGGCCATGAGTTTGGGCATCTGACCAAACCAGAGTCTAGTACTCCCTCAACCATTCCAGTAGCCACAGGAGCCTGAGCGAGGGGCCTTACTGCGGAGCCTCACTGTTGGCATGTGCAGAGTGACGACAGTCCCAACGCTGCCATCGGCAGGGTGAATCAGTGAACAGTGGCTCAGGGAATCCAGAGCATTCTTACTGTTATTATTAGTCAGCTACTAGTCCAAGAAGGAACATCCTGAACCACAAAGAAAGTCTTTCGAAGGTTTAGAATTATGGTCATCTGCACTAGGCTTTTACATAAACAAAAACAAAAACAGAAACCCGAAACAAACCCCCCCTGTGTCCAGCAGATAAACACGGGCCTCCAGAATGAGTTTCTGGAGTGGTACCATCTATAAAATTAGAGCGTCAGCCTTGGTGGTTTCCAAACTCCTTCCCAGCTTCGACAGCACATGACGTATGATCCAAGTGGGAACATCTTTATTAGGCACTTACTGAGGGCCCAGCACAGACCGAGGTGCTGCGGAGGACACACAGCAGCCTGGGACTTACTGTCCAGGGTGACAGTTTCACCGGGAAGGTCACAGTCCCCGGCAGGGAACAGGGAGCAGTAAGAGCTGGGAACGTAAACTGCGAATCGAGGGAGGAGAGGCAAACATGATCCTTGTTTTGGAAAGGATCAAGAGAACGAGTCCCTGCTACATTCTGGAATTGTGGTGCCTGCAAGTGTTCTCCAGTCGGGGCCTGGGCAAAAATGCCTCTCCGTGACCAATGCCAAGGAGGTGGCAAGACAGCGGTGGGTGAGAAAGACGTCTCCACGGCACGCCGTCTGCGCCAGAAGAGGCCTGGCGGCACCCACGCTGCACCCCAGGTCCCACTCAGGTCCTTCCCACCTCCTCAAACTCTCATTTTCCTTGAAAAGAGGTCTTTCCTTGGAAAAGATAGTAAGTTAAGGTCCTGTCTACGGATTTCTGGCAGCTGACTAGGAAGAAATGAAAAATCCCATAATACTTTCCCCCTTAACAGAATATGCGAGAATAAAATAAGAATCATCTTATTTTTTTAAGCGAATAATGAACTGTTCCAAACCACCCCCTCTCCTTCCACACCCGCCCCCCCGCCCAACAATAAAACAAGTTCAATCCCTAAGGTTTAGGAGTCAGCCTACGCTAAGAGCGTCACTGCCAACTGACCCTGCTCCAGGACTCTTGGTTCCCCCAGCACAGCCTGGTCCTGGGAGTTCTCCGTACAAAAACACCACACTGATCTCAGGAGGATGGGGTAAGATGACCCAAGAGATCACACCTCCCTCTAAATGCTGGATTCTGCCATGGGCTTCTCAGCTGCGGGAAGGTGCCCGCACCTACTCAACTCTCCCTAGGACTTCTATCTGAATTCTTACTTCCCTGTGGACAAAAAAAACTATTTACCCAAGGCAACTGGACTTGTCCTTTGTCACTTGTGAGTAAATGGAAAGGGTACAAAGATATTATTCATAGGAAACTATTACCAAAGTCTTCACCCCTGTACCTGTGACTCTGAGAACTCAGGAAATGGGAGGTTGTTGAAATCTGTGGTGCAGCCAAACTCGTACTGATTAAAGGTCAATCAGATTTTATGGGGAGAGATGCTTTATAGGAACTAATCTGGAACCAGTGAGTTGAAGGGTACCATGGTCAAAGAGGCTGGGCCCCGGGCCAATCCCCTGGGCTTCTGAGTATGAATCCAGGGCACCAAAAGCTTGTGGCCTTCTCTCACTGTGGGAGCACTTAGTCATACTTAATTCCAACTCTCTCATTCCCCACCTCGGTGGGAAAATAAATCACACCCCGTATCTTATTTCTCCCTCAAAGATAGGGTAAGCACATGGGCTGGAGAGGGCGGTGATTCCAGTAAGCACTCTGTATGGGTGCCCTCTGGCACAGGTCTGCTCTGAGGCAGGGAGGAGTCATTTCACCCACGACCTTGAGCTAGAGCACTATAGTCAGCCCAGAGCAGAGGTATCCATGAGAGCCACAGGGCCATGTGGGAGTGACCGGTGTGGGACATCTTTTACCACCCCATCCCTGGTTTTGCCCATTTTATCTTATTTTTTAAAGATTTATTTATTTAGGGACGCCTGGGTGGCTCAGTGGGTTAAAGCCCCCCCACCCCGCCTCTCTGCCTGCTTGTGATCTCTGTCAAATAAATAAATAAAATCTTAAATAAATAAATAAATAAAATCTTAAAAAAAAAAAAAGATTTATTTTGAGAGAGAAAGAGCAGGAGGAAGGGCAGAGGGAGAGAATCTGTCGAGCACACTCTGCATGAGTGAGGAACCTGACATGAGGCTCCATCCCACACCCTGTGAGATCATGACCCAAGACAAAACCAAGAGTTGAATGCTCAGCCGACTGAGCCACCCAAGCACCCCTGCCCACGTACGTTAAAAAGAAGCCAAATGTCTCGCAATTCAGACTCATTTTGAACTTTCCTCAGAGCAGATGCTCTTTGGCGAGCTCACAGACATCAAAATGGGGAATGAAGCTCGGGGACAGATATTCAGGGAAGGGGAAGCTGCCCTTAGAGGCAGTGGGGGAAAGGCTGGAAATCACAAGGATATGAGCAAACACAATCCAGCTACGCATCAGCCCAACACTCCACCAGATGCGTGAGCGACATGGACTGTGCGCCAGGCTAGCAAACGGGAATCCTAAGCCAGAGATGGTTTCTGCCTTCTGCCTCCAAGGACCTCGGTCAGGAGGTCTGTGTCCGGCATAACGGAAAGACCTTCACCCTGACTTCGGCTTCTGACTGTGACACTTAATAGCTGTGAGATCAGGGGCAAGGAATTTCACCTCTGTGGGCCTACTTCTTCGTCTTTAAAATGGGGTGAGGACATCCACCTAGAAGGATGCCTGAAGGATTAGACAGAATGTGTGAGGCACTTAGCACAGAGCCCGAGACGCATGAGGCATCCAATGAGAACAGTACTGAGTTATCTGAACTTCGACATCGTCTCACGCAACATGGGAACAATCAGGTTCCACGGGGCTATAGGCAGGATGACACGAGACGGTGTGCGTGAAAACGCTCGGCAGGTGTGTCCCCGGAGAAGCGGCAGCGGGCCGCAGAAGGCCATGGAAGCACAGGACAGACAGCGGAAGCCCGGCTTGAGCACGGGGACGGGACTAGCACCTGGAGGGTCATCTACAGCTAATTCATGACTGTCTTCGGTAAAAACAGTATCTGGACACCAGAAGGGGCATTTGTGGAGACTTAAGTCAATCTAGCTCATTTTGTAGCAATTTCAAGTCCACACAAAGCTTAAGATTTCAAAAGTTTCCAAGGAACAGAAGGTCCTTCAGAAAACC